TATAGGATAAGGAAGAATCTGTTCCTGTGGCCTTGTCAACATCCCTGTATTCATTACTAGGAGCGCAAGACAAAGATTAAGGGACTTTTCGTGGAGAATATAGTCTATTAACAAAGTATAATATTCGTCAAGCATTTATGTTTTCACTTACGAAGCCTGTACATCTTTCTTCGAACATGGCGTCTTTGAAACTAGTTATCATCAGGCATTAAACACCAAACACTTTTTTAAGCAACTTCCATTTTATCACAATTATAATCCTCATCAGCACTATTGTCCTGATCACCGTTCCTTGATGTCAACAGATCTGGGGGATCATCATATTCCAGTCTCCTTTTGTTCATGCCACAAGTACAGGTTAGCTTGTTATAAGCTCTAACCGCATCATTATACACTAACAAAGAATCCTGCACATTTGGTTCTGACAATGAATGCCGTCCTCTCATGCCAAAGGAGGCCTCTAAAAGTCCCAGGGATCATAAAGTGATCTCAGACTTCCAAATCACTTCACACCATGCCAAAGGTAAATTCTTGTGTCTGACGGAAGAAAAGAATATTTCCTGAGGGCCAGAACATAACCTTTAAAGGACTGGACGATAGAACGACGGTCTCGCTTCATGCAGGTCGGCGTTCAATCCCCGACCGTCCTAGTGGTTGGGCACCATTCCTCCCTCTTCCCCCACGTCCCATCCCAAATCCTTATCCTGATCCAGATACATTAGCTGAAGATACTACACTAAGATACACACCCACAAATACACTAGCCTAAGATACACACCCACAAATACACTAGCCTAAGATACACACCCACAAACACACTAGCCTAAGATACACACCCACAAACACACTAGCCTAAGATACAAACCCACAAACACACTAGCCTAAGATACACACCCACAAACACACTAGCCTAAGATACACACCCACAAACACACTAGCCTAAGATACACACCCACAAACACACTAGCCTCGTACACACCCACAGATACACTAGCCTCGTACACACAGTAGTTCCTCTAATCTAGCTATATACATAGTGTCCTCGAGTACATGGCTAGGTGATAGGAGTATGACCTTTGCAGAGTCTCTGGTATCTATCTTGAGATGTTTTTATATTTGTGTTCCTGCCAGATCTGGCATTGAGGGAGGTGACGTCAGGCGGCCGAGAGGCTCTTGTCTTGCTTCCCCTCTCTTGTTGTGTTGATGGATGGCAACCCATCTCTGTATTGATGGATGGCAACCCATCTCTGTATTGATGGATGATGTCAATCTGTATATTGACAGATGTGTCTTACCTGTGACTGACAGCCTCTTGAGATATACACCCTGGGAACACTTCACTTATTATGTACGTACATGAAGGAATCACTCTGTAACAGATACTGGTTAGTTGTTAACTAGAGTTAACCTCACAATATCACCATCACCTTCAGCATACAGCTGGCTGTTTACACCAGAGGGGCCAGATTCATGAAGTAGTTACGCAAGCACGTACGAACCTGTACATCTTTTCTCAGTCTTTGGTGGCTTTGTTTACAATAATTATACAGCTAATGAGCTCTGAAGCACCACGAAGCTGTTTATGATAATAACAAAAGTTGATTGGGAAGTTTTCATGCTTGTAAACTGTTTAATAAATGTAACCAAAGCCGTCAAAGATTAAGGAAAGATGTACACGTTCGTAAGTACTTGTGTAACTGCTTCGTGAATCTGCTGGTTCACTCCTTGTTGGCTAGGCTATATAACATCTATTCAGATCAGCTTTATCTCTTTATCACATCACGTAGCACAACCTCACTCAATAGTAATTAATAATATTACTAACGAGCATAAGTAATAACGTTAACAAAAAGCTCTCTCACAATACACGTTAGTTATATGAATGTACACAATTTCCAGCATGTCCTTTTAACACTGACACGCTTGACTGAATCAAGAAGGGCATATCTCGGACAGTTTAATTATTTCCTCTTGATAATTGACTTGTGATATTTATATCTTAGTCACAACTTGACTCCTTAATGGTTCTTATGCAACTTAGTCAACCGCTGTAGATTACAAATGCAAACTCAGTATATACTCATAATGTCTTACGTAAGCCTGCATTTATTTGCATATAACGTATAAGATATTACATATTAATCGCTCAATTCTTACATGCAATGAACACAATTAATGCAGAAAGAAGGAATATACAACTATGGACGTAGGCTAGCCTATTAGACTAGCCTAGTCATGACACCTTGACTAGCCTAGTTATGACTGTTTGACTAGCCTAGTCAGGACATCTTAACTAGCCTAGTTATGACGTTAGCGGACATCCATGGGGGATCATCAGGCGATTCGTTAATCAGGTTAACGTAAGTTAAATTGCTGGTCATCGTTAAATTGTAGGCACATTGGTCTACGTCGTCGAATCACAACCGAAAGTTCTTTGTTTAATCCCTGCGGAAGAACAGAAGCGTTTGAACGATATTTCCTTTCACGTGGTGCGTCAGTGCGTGTTGAGGTAAATATGTCACCAGGATTTAGAGAACTGTTGTTGGTTGCATCCTGGTTACGGTCAGTAGTTATCCTAGTGGGTCCTGGATAAGACTAACGTGCTTTCAGCCCCCCCCGACCAGAAGGTGTGTGTCGACTTTTGCTCATCACACACACACACACACACACACACACACACACACACACACACACACACACACACACACACACACACACACACACACACACACACACACACACACACACACAATAAGCCATAAGAGTCAACCTTGACTACAGGAGTAAGAGAGTGAGGTGGAAGCCGTAGAGTAGAAGTAGGATACATGTAACGGGTTGATGGCACGATGGTCGTGAGACCAGGAAGGTCTCCCTATCTCCTCATCACTCATCAAGGTCATAGCGGTTAGAAAGGCGGGGTCCAAGAGCTAATAGCTCGATTCTGCAGGTACAAATAGTAAATACATGGTGTATAACACGTCACTGGAACTAGGAGACCAACCAGAAAGTTGGAAGAGGCCGGCCAAAGTTGTCACACTATAGGGTGAGAGACAAGAGGCACTACAGGCAGGTGTCACGATCTTCTCCACCAACGTGCAAGGTGATGGAGAAGGTCGTGACAAAACGTTTGTGCAGTATGTGGAGAGAAGGAACTTTGTAACACAATTGCAGCGGGAGTTTAGTGATGGCAAATTGTGCCTCATAGGTTTAATTTAATTCTGTGACCGGACAACAAGCAGTAAGCAAGAAAGGGTGAGTAGACTGCATTTTCTTGCATTGTCGGAAAGTTTTTGATGCAGTATCCCCATAAGAGGCTGTTGCATAATGTGGAGAAACAGCCAGGAGTAACAGGTAAGGTGTTCCAGTGGATAAGTGGAGTTCCACGGGGTTCTGTACTCGGCCCTATCCTGTTTCTGATATACGTGAATGATTTTTAAGAGTACGTTATAAACTTATTCTTCTCAATGTTTGCTGACGATGTTAACATTATAAGACTGATTAAGACAGGAGGACAGCAAGAGACTACAAGATGAACTGGACAAACTGAAGGAATCGTTCAACAAATGGCTACTGGACTTTGACTCAAGCAAGTGTAAAGTTATGAAAACAGGTGTAGGGAGCAGGAGGGTGAACATATCATATCAACTGGGAGATATAATCCATCAGGATGAGAGAGAGATCTGGGGATGGATATCACGCCGGACCAATTCCCTGAAGTCCATATCAAATGAATATCATCGGCGGCCAATGCGAGACTGGCAATCACAGGAAATGCTTTTAGAAACGTGTTTAATGAATCATTCAGACCCTCGTATACCTCATGTGTCAGACTTGTCCTGGAGTACACGGCTTCAGCTACAGTCTGTACTTAGTCAAACACAAGACGAAGATATACAGAGTTCAAAGGTATGCCATCAGGGCAGTCCCCGATCTAAGAGGTATGAGCTACGAAGAAAGACTACTGGAATTAAACTCACGACATTTCGCCCTTCGGGGCAAAATTTAAAAATTTTAATTTAAAAGGGGAAACAGGTGGAAACTTAGTACCCAAATGAGCCACAGAGACGTTAGAAATAGTTTTGTCAGTGTCAGTTGTTAAGGAATTAAATGCACTAGGAAGTGATGTGGTGGAGACAGACTCTATACCCAGTTTCATATGAAAATATCCTGTATATATATATTGAGTATACAGGTTCCTGAGCCCAATAGTCACAGGAACCTGTACACCAGTTAATTGACGGTTGAGAGGCGGGACCAAAGAGCCGAAGCTCAACCCCCGCAAGCACAACTAGGTGAGTACAACCTGCTGCTGCTGGATCATCCACTCACCATAATAGGTCACCTGCGCAGTGGCCCCATAATAGGTCACCTGCGCAGTGACCCTATAATAGGTCACCTGCACAGTGACCCCATAATAGGTCACCTGCGCAGTGACCCTATAATAGGTCACCTGAACTATAATAGTTTACAGGTAACCTAATAGGTCACCTACACCCTAATAGGTCACCTGCACCCTAATAGGTCACCTGCACCATAACAACCTTGCCAGCGTCTCAACGTTGCCACGTCACGTAATAACAGACCTTTTCTCATTTGTTTTTTTGGTTTATTTTCGAGTGTTCGTGCCTCCATCTCTACTGACACATTTCTTAATGTTTCTCCTAATTTTCACTTAGTTTCATTCACGACTCTTGAAAACGCAGCTATGACAATTCCGGCATCACGTACAGGGGTCGTTCGGTTCTTTTCGTATCAGTTCGTTCAGTTTCTGGCGCGTTTTTGACCACGTGGTTCCGGGGGGGCGGCCATGTTGGATCTCCGTGTTGCCATACAATGAATACGCCATTTCAGTGTTGTTGTTGTTGTCGTCGCGTGTATACTTTTATTATTTTATTTGTTTTTCGTTGTATTTTTTGTTTGTTTGTTTTCCTATTCGACTTTGGGCTTGCTTTTAAACCAATTAAATGGATAATAATATTGTATATTTTGTTTACTCTCAGGTCAAGACTGAATGGACTGGACAACAAGACTTAAGAATGGACCTGTTGACCTATAAACAGTAAGTCCTGTTTACAACATGTTGTTTACCCCCTCCCCCCCCTCGCCTGTCTCTCTGACCCAACCAGCAATTGCAGCACCTATAAGGACTATGAAGGATAGACTTACACGCAATATGGACTGCTGTGTACCCCTCCCTTCCCCCCCCCCCCACACTAACAAAATCAAAACATGTTTTCAGTTGGTAATGTTATACGGGGCCCGAGAAACATTGCAACAGCCTTCCTTGTCTTTTTTCAGATGTATTACACAGTCTCCAGATTGTGTCACTGTACCATTGGGGCAGATGACTATGGGCTCACTATACCATTTGGGTAGATGACCATGGGTTCACTATACCATTTGGGTAGATGACTATGGGTTCATTGTACCATTTGGGTAGATGACCATGGGTTCACTATACCATTTGGGTAGATGACTATGGGTTCACTGTACCATTTGGGTAGATGACCATGGATTCACTGTACCATTCGAATAACCTACCCTAACCCACCCAACTGTCCGGACTAAACGCAGTGGGCTCACAGCCACATAAGGTTACTGGTTAGATTCCCGCGGCAGGGCAGAAGCGTTTGAGCAACGTTTCGTTTCATCAGATGTGTGTGTGTGTGTGTGTGTGTGTGTGTGTGTGTGTGTGTGTGTGTGTGTGTGTGTGTGTGTGTGTGTGTGTGTGTGTGTGTGTGTGTGTGTGTGTGTGTGTGTGTGTACTCACCTAGTTGTACTCACCTAGTTGTGTTTGTGGGGGTTGAGCTCTGGCTCTTTGGTCCCGCCTCTCAACCGTCAATCAACACACACACAATGTGTGTGTGTGTGTGTGTGTGTGTGTGTGTGTGTGTGTGTGTGTGTGTGTGTGTGTGTGTGTGTGTGTGTGTGTTTACCTAGCAGTGACTAAGTACCCAGGAGCTTGACAACTGTCGAGAGTTGCATCCTGGGGACATTTAGTGGTTATCCTAGGCTCCCTTACAATGGGAGGATGTTGCAATGCCCCTAACACTGTTTTACTGTTAGATTTGATAGAGCCTAATAGGCTCCATAATCTGCACCCCAGTTGATTGACAGTTGAGAGGCGGGACCAAAGAGCCAAAGCTCTACTCCTCCCCCCCCCCCCGCTAGCACAACTAGGTGAGTGCTGTGAAACAATGCAATTGTAGTTAACCTCTCGTAACCTTGTCTTATCTAACGTCTTAACTTAAACCAGTAATCAGTAAACGTCTTAACGTCTTAACTTAAACCAGTAATCTTCTGGGTGGAGTATATTGGGTTTATTTTCTCACTGATCAGTGACAGCAGTCGAGTAAAAAAATAAAAAAAATTATAAGGTTAAAAACCAAAATTATTCCTAAAACCAAAATTATTCCTAATATGCATTAAATAAATAAATAAATAAATGTTTATTTAGGTAAGGTACATACATAAAGAGATTTTACAAAGTTTGTTGGATTAATAAATAGAGCTAGTACATACAATGCCTAAAGCCACTATTACGCAAAGCGTTTCGGGCAGAAACGCTTATTAAGTTGAAATATAAAATGAAATAAAGTTCAATGAAGTTGAAATAAAGTTGAAATGAATTATATATTTATCATAGAAAATTACACGAAATATTTTTAATTTTTTTGTATTTTTATATACAAGAGTTTTTACATTCTTGTACAGCCACTAGTACGTCGTAGCGTTTCGGGCAGGTCGCTGAACGATTAGGCGGGTCGTATTCCAGAGAAAATAAGAATTAACAACCAGGTACCCATTCACTACTGGGTGAATAGAGGCCACAGTTAAGGATTGGTGCCTAGTCAATCCTCAACGGCCAGGATACGAACCCAGGCTAAAGTGCTCGCGAAGTCCCGTAGCCCCTTTAGCACTTTACCACGAGAACTACTTAAAAAAATGTTTAATGCGAATACTTTGTCGTTTCTGGTAATTCGACTTAATTTTAAGGAATGTTACACATACACAGCAGATAAATTATATTGTAATAAACACGCGATAAGGCAATTACCAGGATTAGGATGGGTTAAGTTACTGGGGAGAGATAGTTACCGTCAGTGATGGGTCAAGCCAGTAACTGGACTGGTCACCGTACTAAAAGCACCACTACTGGCTAGGATAGACCTAGCCAAGGTGATGGCTAGGTCTGCCTAGCTAAGGCTTCCTGTCCCCAGCATTGGTGTTCAGAAGAAAATGTATATATGTTGGTTAGCATTGTAAATGTGTGGCCACGTCTGTGGTAGAAAATAATAAAAAAAAAATTGGTGTTCAGTAGACTATACTACTCCTACTTCTACCTCTACTAATAATCCTTAAGTTACCGATTCAGGTGTGACATTGTCTTATCATGCATTAACTTGGCACTAAGAGTTGATTATATCACCAAGGAAGGTTGATCATAGGACTGAATATGTCAGTCACCCGTGTGGTACAGATATTGACTTTTTCTGTAACGAGGAAAAGTACCCATTGCCCCCTTTTTTGTAGTGGCTGCCAATCCTCACACCCTCGCCTCTCAAGCAACAGCTACCCGAGTTCGAGCTCCGGTTAAGGGGGGACGATCGGGCGTCATTCCTGTACCCAGTGGGTAGGGGAACTCTTGGCCAGCAAGCAATAGCAAGACCTCCAACTTACGCCCTCGATATCGAAATAAATTGGAAAATCATCATTATATTTCATCAACTTGGCCCACACAGCAAGGCCTATGTCCAATATTATATCCCAACACACGTTGCAAAAGAAATAGATAACACGTTGGTGTATTAAGCTTAGGGCAGACTGCTCCCAGACCTGGTTGGCATAGGACGAGAACTGGCCATCACATCTGCACTCCAGAGCTTCCAATATTTTCTCCAACACTCCAGCCTACACACTCCAACACTCTCCAACACACTCTCCAACAAACACTCTCCCCCAACACTTGCAACATACAATTCACTGTAATCATTTACAGTATAAATGAGATACCAACCCGCCAACATTATCGTGGCATTATCAGTAATGTTAGTCTCAACAAAGAAGTAACAGTAATATTATAAAATTCAATATCATTATAAGTGGCCAGAACTGCACTCCCTGATAAGAACTAAAATCCTTGACGATTCTTCTGAATATAAATTGTTGTTAAGAGGACAAGATGTTCGTCTTCAGAATTGTAGCTGGTAAATATCAAGTATTTTCTGTATGTATGTATGTATATATATATATATATATATATATATATATATATATATATATATATATATATATATATATATATATATATATATATATATATATATATATATATATATATATATATATATATATACACAGTATATATATTTTCAGATCTATCGAATTTGATTTGAATTTGTAATTAAACAGGAGGTGCAACATTTTAAATTTAGGTTCGGAAAATGTAGAATGAATGGAACTTAACCCGGAGGAATCCAGTGACCTTTACACGAACGTTGATAAGAGTTTGAAGACGCAGTTCTTGCGTGCGCGCGCAGACTTGCAACGATGACGTCACATAATATAAACATTCGACTATACGTGAAAAATATCTTACCGTTACTGGCTTGTAGCAGCACACCAACACTCTGGATACGGAGGGCTAACTGGCCACTCACGGACTCAAGTCAAGGGCGACATTATTAAATACTGACATGTGTGGAGAATTATTATTGGTGCTGGGTTTTTTGTTATTGAAATTGGCGGGAAATGGACGAGCTTCAAAGAGTGTTATCGAGACATTTTTGTAGGCGGAATAGGTGGTGGTGGAGGAGGAAGAAGAGCAAGGGAAAGGGAGCGAGAGGAGACACATTTCATAGCAACCAAATATGAAAAAGAACCAGAAGAACCGGTTCTTTAGGGCTAGTTGACGTACATGTTGTGTAGGCAAGATGGCAGCGTGTGGCAACCCCCAGGAGTCAAGGTTACCTATGGCCTCCGGCATGTTGCACCCACCGCCAGATTTATGCCTTTATTTCCTATCCACCGCCTATTCTCTACTCTTTTCCCCCCTCTATCTTCCCGTCCACACATCACCGCTACCGTTCTATCGTTGTGCAGATGACTAGAACCCCCCCGCAGAAGCACCAGGCTCTGCAGGCTAGGATATACGGATTCAGTGGATGGCGTTTAGTTATGAGAACTGGACAACATTCTTGGGTGGTGGTGGTGGGCGCGGCCGAGCTTCCTGACGTGGTTACTGGTCTGGGGGGTAGCGACGAAGCCTTGTTTTCCCAGTATTGTCGCTCCTCGTACGTCTCTCTCACTCCCCCTCCTGTGCTAGTCACACTCGTATTGATGCCTAGTCATATTGGTGTTAGGTTACTGATAGATCCGCGTCTTGAAGAAAACTCATATACTCTCAGATTTGATTATTTAGGCTTGTGAGTCCTAGGCCATAGTGATTGCTGTCTCTTTTTAAGTTATTTACATTTTGTCATTTTAAAGATTTTGAATATGAAAACAAAACAATGTTGTATCTGATTCCTGTTCTCTGTTTGTGATGGAAAATATTGTTATTTAAGTTTTGAGTTATTTGGCAGGTACACTAATGTACTTGTCCAACCACACCCACTCCTCTACTTGCCCAACCACACCCACTCCTCTACTTGTCCAACCACACCCACTCCTCTACTTGTCCAACCACACCCACTCCTCTACTTGTCCAACCACACCCACTCCTCTACTTGCCCAACCACACCCACTCCTCTACTTGTCCAACCACACCCACTCCTCTACTTGTCCAACCACACCCACTCCTCTACTTGCCCAACCACACCCACTCCTCTACTTGTCCAACCACACCCACTCCTCTACTTGCCCAACCACACCCACTCCTCTACTTGTCCAACCACACCCACTCCTCTACTTGTCCAACCACACCCACTCCTCTACTTGCCCAACCACACCCACTCCTCTACTTGTCCAACCACACCCACTCCTCTACTTGTCCAACCACACCCACTCCTCTACTTGTCCAACCACACCCACTCCTCTACTTGTCCAACCACACCCACTCCTCTACTTGTCCAACCACACCCACTCCTCTACTTGTCCAACCACACCCACTCCTCTACTTGTCCAACCACACCCACTCCTCTACTTGTCCAACCACACCCTTGGACAATATTAATATACCAATATACAAAAAGGGTGACAGGTAAGAGGCACTGAACTACAGACCAGTTTCTTGTATACCATGCAAGGTGATGGAGAAGATCGTGAGGAAAAGGCTCGTAGAGCATCTGGAGGAAAACAGCTTTGTAACACATCACCAACATGGGTTCAGGGATGGTAAATCGTGTCTCACAGGTTTAATAAAATTCTATGACCAGGAAACAAAAATTAGGCATGAAAGAGAAAGGTGGGCAGACTGCATTTTCTTGGACTGCTAGAAAGCCTTTGACACAGTACCCCATAAAAGGCTTTTACAAAAGTTGGAGCAACAGGCAGGAGTAAAAGGGAAGGTGCTCCAATTTATAAGGGAGTATTTAAGCAACAGGAAACAGTGAGTAACTGTGAGGGGGGGGGGAGACAACAGAGTGGCGAGATGTCACCAGCTGAGTCCCACAGGGCTCAGTACTTGGACCCATCCTGTTTCTAATATATGTAAATGATCTTCCGGAAGGTATAGACTCATTCCTCTCAATGTTTGCTGATGATGCAAAAATTATGAGAAGAATCAAGACAGATGAAGATAGGATGTCCAGGATGACTTGGACAAACTGGAAGAATGGTCTAGAAAATGGCTGCTAAAGTTCAACTCAGGAAAGTATAAAGTAATGAAATTAGGCGAAGGGAGCAGAAGGCTGAACACAAGGTACCATCTGGGAGGTGAAATCCTGCAAGAGTCAAATAGAGAGAAAGATCTGGGTGTTGATATCACGCCGAACTTATCCCCAGAGGCCAACATCAAAAGGATATCATCAGCGGCATGTGCTAGGTTGGCCAACATAAGAACTGCCTTTAGAAACTTGTGTAAGGAATCGTTCAGGACTCTGTATACCACTTATTTCAGACCAATCCTGGAATATGCAGCTCCAGCCTGGAGTCCATACCTAGTTAAACACAAAACAAAGTTAGAGAAGTTTCAGCGGTATGCCACCAGACTTGCCCCGGAAATGAGAGGTATGAGCTACGAGGAAAGGCTAAAGGAGCTGAACCTCACGTCCCTGGAAAACAGAAGAGTAAGGGGAGACATGATAACCACCTACAAAATTCTCAGGGGAATTGACAGGGTTTACAAAGACAAACTCTTCAGCACGAGTGGAACACGAACAAGGGGACACAGGTGGAAACTTAGTACCCAGATAAGCCACAGAGACGTTAGAAAGAATTTTTTCATTGTCAGAGTAGTTAACAAGTGGAATGCATTAGGCAGTCATGTGGTGGAGGCTGACTCCATACACAGTTTCAAATATAGATGTGATAGAGCCCAGTAGGCTCAGAAATCTGTACACCGGTTGATTGATAGTTGAGAGGCGGGACCAAAGAGACAAAGATCAACCTACGCAAGTACAACTAGGTGAGTACCCTGGCACTGTCTGCGCCACATTTAGTTTTCAGTGGTTTGCCGTTAAAGTAACGATCTACCGTTTTCTTTAACTAATATCACATTTGTAAAGAACGTCTTGGGGCTAATTCCTGTAATTTAATGAGCTCGACAATTCAAATCCTTTCTTTATTATGCACCCCATACCCATCCCGTGGGCGGTGGTGTAAAGGATTACAGAGGCACATTAGCGGTTCAGGAACTGAACCCTCTAGTTCGTTTAGCTAAGCAAATAACAATTTTTGACGTTAGTTACAAAATTATTGTTATATATACATGTACACACTCTCATACATACATGTACATATATATATATATATATATATATATATATATATATATATATATATATATATATATATATATATATATATATATATATATATATATATATATATATATATAATACCCATAGCCTCGAAGAAGAAAATAAAAGTATTCAGAGGAGACCTATACATATTATACCACCCCCATTCTTTTGTATGTACTCGGCATACATTCTCATGCTGTTCCCAGATTTTGCTAGGGGGGGGGGGTTAAAGCTAATAAATCAAAGCCTTACATTTTTTTCTCTGTGGACGTTCTCACCTGATTGTTAGTCAAAGTTGATTTGTTTTTGTATTGAGACAGGTATTGTCTCCCCTGATGCCATGAGTATTGAGACAGGTATTGTCTCCCTGATGCCATGAGTATTGAGACAGGTATTGTCTCCCCTGATGCCATGAGTATTGAGACAGGTATTGTCTCCCCTGATGCCATGAGTATTGAGACAGGTATTGTCTCCCTGATGCCATGAGTATTGAGACAGGTATTGTCTCCCCTGATGCCATGAGTATTGAGACAGGTATTGTCTCCCCTGATGCCATGAGTATTGAGACAGGTATTGTCTCCCCTGATGCCATGAATATTGAGACAGGTATTGTCTCCCCTGATGCCATGAGTATTGAGACAGGTATTGTCTCCCCTGATGCCATGAGTATTGAGACAGGTATTGTCTCCCCTGGTGCCATGAGTATTGAGACAGGTATTGTCTCCCTGATGCCATGAGTATTGAGACAGGTATTGTCTCCCCTGATGCCATGAGTATTGAGACAGGTATTGTCTCCCCTGATGCCATGAGTATTGAGACAGGTATTGTCTCCCCTGATGCCATGAGTATTGAGACAGGTATTGTCTCCCTGATGCCATGAGTATTGAGACAGGTATTGTCTCCCCTGATGCCATGAGTATTGAGACAGGTATTGTCTCCCTGATGCCATGAGTATTGAGACAGGTATTGTCTCCCCTGATGCCATGAGTATTGAGACAGGTATTGTCTCCCCTGATGCCATGAGTATTGAGACAGGTATTGTCTCCCCTGATGCCATGAGTATTGAGACAGGTATTGTCTCCCCTGATGCCATGAGTATTGAGACAGGTATTGTCTCCCCTGGTGCCATGAGTATTGAGACAGGTATTGTCTCCCCTGATGCCATGAGTATTGAGACAGGTATTGTCTCCCCTGATGCCATGAGTATTGAGACAGGTATTGTCTCCCTGATGCCATGAGTATTGAGACAGGTATTGTCTCCCCTGATGCCATGAGTATTGAGACAGGTATTGTCTCCCTCATGCCATGAGTATTGAGACAGGTATTGTCTCCCCTGATGCCATGAGTATTGAGACAGGTATTGTCTCCCCTGATGCCATGAGTATTGAGACAGGTATTATCTCCCCTGATGCCATGAGTATTGAGACAGGTATTGTCTCCCCTGATGCCATGAGTATTGAGACAGGTATTGTCTCCCTGATGCCATGAGTATTGAGACAGGTATTGTCTCCCCTGATGCCATGAGTATTGAGACAGGTATTGTCTCCCCTGATGCCATGAGTATTGAGACAGGTATTGTCTCCCCTGATGCCATGAGTATTGAGACAGGTATTGTCTCCCCTGGTGCCATGAGTATTGAGACAGGTATTGTCTCCCCTGATGCCATGAGTATTGAGACAGGTATTGTCTCCCCTGATGCCATGAGTATTGAGACAGGTATTGTCTCCCCTGATGCCATGAGTATTGAGACAGGTATTGTCTCCCCTGATGCCATGAGTATTGAGACAGGTATTGTCTCCCCTGATGCCATGAGTATTGAGACAGGTATTGTCTCCCCTGATGCCATGAGTATTGAGACAGGTATTGTCTCCCCTGGTGCCATGTATCACTAACCATCCTGTGAGATTTTGTTTTTGTTATTATTATTATTTTCTACCACAGACGTGGCCACACATTTACAATGCTAACCAGCATATATACATTTTCTTCTGTCCTCCATGGTCACGGTGAGAGAGATGGGAATATTTGATGAACATTAGAATATTAGATTTTCCTGCCCGAAACGCTTTGCGTAATAGTGGCTTTAGGCATTGTATGTACTAGCTCTATCTATACATCCATCAATTTTTGTACAACCTCTTCTATGTATGTACTTTACCTGAATAAACACTTTTATTATTTATTATTATTATGAACTTAAACCTAGTTTTATATCTGCATTCTGAAATCTTTCATATAGAATAAGGGTAGCAGCACATTACTGTATATATCTAAGCTCGTTAAAATATATATATATATATATATATATATATATATATATATATATATATATATATATATATATAAAAAGCACAAAAAACAGAAAGGGAGATGGGTGGTAGGATAAAAAAAAATAGCACATAGAAACTGTATTGGAGGGGACTTATACATTCCCTTTAATGCGTTATGTGTGGTGTCCTCCGAGGCTAAGGGTCCCCTTCTTCCAGCCAGAGGTGGTACTCCCTTCTATATTTTTCTAACAAAAAAAAATAAGGCAAGAATAATTCAAATTAATAAAACTTCGTGTGAATTCGAAATTTTATAGAATTTTTATTAAAATAATAATAACAATCTAATTCTTTAATTCAGTGCTTTTTTAAATATAAAGTGTTACATATTTCATAAGAATTTAAAAAAAAATAAGTACAACAGAACAGATTTGAAAATAAATAAAAAGCTTGTCTAGTATTAAAAAGTTACCCCATAGCAAGAATCCATTTTCTTTGGTGCTGTTATACGTAAAAGTCTGTACGTAAGTAATGGACAAACTATAATATATTACCTGCCTTATGGGGGTTCTGGGAGTTCTTCTCCCTAAGCCCGGTTCGAGGCCAGGCTTTACTTGTGAGAGCTTAGTCCAACAGGCTGTTGCTTGGAGCGACCCACATATCCACCACATCCCGGTTTGTCCGGCACTTAAAGAGAAAACTATATAGTTTTCTTCAAGAAGATGTCTAAGATTGTTCCGGCAATATTTCTTATGCTCGCTGGGAGGATGTTGAACAACCGCGGACCTCTGATGTTTATATAGTTCTCTCTGTGCCTATGGCACCTCTGCTCTTAACTGGTTCTATTCTGCATTTTCTTCCATATCGTTCACTCCAGTATGTTGTTATTTTACTGTGTAGATTTGGGACCTGGCCCTCCAGTATCTTCCAGGTGTATATTATTTGGTATCTCTCTCGTCTCCTTTCTAGTGAGTACATTTGGAGAGCTTTGAGACGATCCCAATAATTTAGGTGCTTTATCGCGTCTATGTATGCCGTATATGTTCTCTGTATTCCCCCCTGTTGTTGGTTTAGATTTAGCTACTCAGAACGAAGTGTCCATGTAGCACGGGCTATGGTGAGCCCGTAACACATTTCTTCCCCCCTGTGTCTGTCTGTATATGTGGTGGTATGTCACCGCTTCCCACCTTCCCGTCTTGCACACTCAGAGGGGGATCGACTCCAATATTTCAGTCACTGGGTCGACTCCTCTACTACACCACCCACTGCCGATCAATACCACAAATTGTGTGTCTGGAGCGGCCTGCTCCACTCTTACTCACTCAAAGCTTCACTGATAAGCGTGATTGTCGTAGAGAATTTACAACGGTTCCTCGATAAGCGTTATTGTCGTACAGAATTTACAACGGTACCTCGTCTGCCGTTTGTGCGTGAGAATTATACAAAAATTTCCCCCCGTTTTTTGTTTCCTGAGCAGCCTAAACTCAAAGGTGTATTATAGATTCTTCACAGTATAGCCATGTATAGTTTATTTTAATATATTATTTTCTGAACTTTCTTTATTTAGAAGGTTTTAAGCGTGAGGAACAGAAGGTGTCGTGGTTTTCAAGCTCAGTCAAAAGCTATCTAGAAGTTTTGAACAAAAAATGCACTCATTTTTTTGCGTTGAAGGAGAACGAATATTTGGTATTGTGGACCTTCTGAGGTGATACATGAAGACGCTCGATACATATTTGTTAATAACTGAAGATATATCGTATGACGTTGAGAACAATTATGTGTTCCTAAGTACAAGTGCTCTTTGATTCCAAGGGGGAGTTAAGGATTATAGTCCACTCTGTCATTAATGTACAATGATTAATTGTAAATAGATAGTTATTGAAATGAAACTATGTCTGTAACTAGCTGACATTATAATATAAGGTGAGCAGGATAGATGTAATTGTTAATGTAATAATCTCCGTTGAGGTCTGATAAAGACCTTTAGTGCCCTCTGTGATTGTAATCACTGTAATCCCTCTGTAATCCTTTTTGGGCTACTGTTAACAGGATGAGTATGGGGGTGCCCAATCATCAATCAATCCAGTGTACAGTCCTCCCAGTGTGTAGGCGAGACAAGGTTTTGATTGGGTAGATTAGTATGGTTAGATTATATGTAGATTGCCTGAGTTAGGTGAATGTTGGTTAATTTACCTTATTTTAGGTTAGCATCGGTTTGTTTAGGATAGGCTAGTAAGGTTGAAAGGTGTGTGGTAAGATTGGTCTAGACAAGAGAAGTTTAGGTTATGTTGTATTAATGTTAATTGGTTAATTGACAAAACCTGGCAGCGCTGCGCGTACTTCCGTTAGGGGTGTGCCGCCCCCTCTCACCCCCCCCCCCCTATGTCCAGGTTAGGCTTCAGCGCTACATTTTGTGTACCCGGGTCGCCCGTGTTCAGTTGTGGGGAGATATAATATTTTCCCCCTCACTTCTTTTGATGTATAAACCTGTATGACCATATTGGTCTCAGGAATATTTGGGTGGAGTGGTGGAAGGGGATCTTCCACAAGCCGCCGGCTTCCTGTCCCAGTCAAGGGCACTAGCGATGGGAAATTTCAGGGTGATTGTAAATGGCAGGCTCGCTTTTTAGTGACTGGATGATGCTTATGATTGTAATTGGTTAGATACCAGTGATTGTAATCACTCCCTGTCCCTCCCTCCCCCCCCACTTTGTTAACTGTCGCCATGGTAATTATAGTATTCATTACAGCACCAGTTTAACGAGGTAATGATACAGTACGTTGAACTTATTCTATCATCAGTACCGTGATTCAAATGTAATGCTTCTTCCCAAATTCCTGCGCAGTGGCTCTCTGAACCTAAATTGTTATTAACTCTAGAAGTGAATAATGAATTAAGTGAATTGCCAGTAGACTTGATTAATTAATTAAGAATATGGCCGGCCGACTGCCCTACAATCGGCCACCGTTCTCTCTCCAGTAAACCAGCCTTGGTTACTTTAGTAATAATATAATAGGCAATGGCATCTGAGGACCTGCTTCCCTGTGGGTAGGTTCCTTATATATTATTATTGTTTTTGTTTATTGTGTTATTAATAGTAGTTGTATCAGGATTGTGTTTCTATTATTTCACTGAGTTGAAAGTTGATTTGTGACAGATCAGTATTAGTCTAGTGTGACTGGAAGCATGTGGGTGAACAGTTATTTAGTTTGTTGACCAGACCACACACTAGCAATTGAAGGGACGACGACGTTTCGGTCCGTCCTGGATCATTCTCAAGTCGATTGTGGCATTCTCAAGCCCCTCACAGTAGACTTGAGAATGGTCCAGGACGGACCGAAACGTCGTCGTCCCTTCACTTTCTAGTGTGTGGTTTGGTCAACATATTTCAGCCACGTTATTGTGACTCCTCGTCTGCAGTTAGTTTAGTTCAGTTATCATACACCCCAACAGACCATGTGTGTTCACCATGGTGAACTCTGCTTGCCCATCCTTCATGTTCTTCATTCTCTTCACCTCTGTTGTTTAGCCGTATCTGAAGTAGCTTAATTTTTAACTTCAACACATTCATAATTTGTTTCCTTTTTCAAGTTTATGGACTGTTATATGAAATTGAAATAAGTTTATTGAGGTAAAATACACACAAAGGGATGAGGTAGCTCAAGCTATTCTCACCCCGTTCAGTACATCGTGTTAATACATATATAGATATACATCACAAACAATAAACATATTACCAAATATTCTGAGAGATAAACATATACATTTCCTCCTTTACACAAGTATGTTATATGAACGATTTTGTCATTGTAATGCTTTGTTCTATTTCTGTTTCCACAATGAAATCGTTCATTACCTAAATTGTTTCAAGAGTGTTCTAAGGTTCAGAGTTTGTCGATGTTTTTAATGTGTGGGAAAAGCCAACCATTTACAGACATTTACAGCCTGATTAATGTCATTCCGGCAACGCTAGAGGTGTTCAGCGTCATCAATGGGTAAATGTAATTTAATATTTTATCCTAGTTAGGATGGAAACCAAATTTTTGTTTTCTCTCTAGCCCTTATTCGACCTCCATGGACGAAAACGCTTTCGGTATTCAGTTTAGGAGACAGCGGTAGACATTATAAATATATCATCAGTAGTTGGATCGTTAAAGGCACAGGGAGACAGGCAGGTGAGGCGGTGCAATAACGAGGTGATAGAATATGAATCAGGAGAGCGCGCATGCGTACATGATGGCCGCCGCTATACCTGGAAGTGGTCCATACACGGAGTCCGCTCTCTCACACTCCTCACCACACACTCACCACACACTCACCTCTCACTCATCTCCACCAAGCCCGTCTCGTCAGTGACTAGTGCCAGTGATTTGACGGAAACATCTTGGCCAGTCCGCATTTATCGATAGCTGCCAATAAGTTTCTTGCGGAGTGAGCGTGGCATGTGCGGTCTGGTGAAAATAGTGTAGGTGTTTAAACAGCTGTGTGATGATATTGTAGTGTGGTGCTCGTTAACTGATAACAGCCTGGTGATGAGATCATTCAGTGGACACTGGTGAGTGTCTGTGTCATCACATTAAACCGGTATGCTGTTGGATGATAAACAATAGCCTAATAAAAAATTATTCATTTCAAACGAAACAGAGAACCCGTGCTCGACCTGGTCACGAGGAACCCAAGTTCATCGCAACGTTTAAGATCTTGGAGGAGTGAGGCATCCTATGGAAGGACTCGAGGCCATGTACCAAGCGTCACCCACACAATATGTATAGACGTCTGACCTACGGCAAACCGGTAAGTTATTTGTTGTGTACATGTCACCCAATAACAAATTTGGTATTAGATAATTACGAAATATTTGGCGCGCAAGACTTAACGCGTCTATCGAATGTGGGTTCCGAAATTGTTGATGAGGCTTTATGAGGACTGGGGGATGATACGGTAAATATCTCTGCATTATTAAAGCGTGATTCAGTGTGATAAAAAGATCGGTAAGCAATTGTGAAAAGTGAAGATGCTACTATGCATGATTACTGCAGTGTGGAGGTGTATGTGTATCCCTGTGTGTATCCTGTGAATGATATTATGAACGGAAGTGATATCCATAATTTTATTATTTCATACCAATGACTTTTTTTTAATATATCACTACTTTTTTGGTTGTGATGCCTGTGAAGCCCATGAGGGTGTGAGAAGGGGAGAGACCATGTGTGCTTGTCTCTACTGACAGTAAGACCAGTATTGCACCTTCCAATTACTGCCACCACTCACACGGAAGGTATTTCTGTAGATCATGATAACACGCTTGAACTCACGGTCATTTTATGGAACTATGTGTTTTAATTTACTCTAAATTTATTAGACACTGACACGAGAAATGTTATAATCTACAGGCAAACGTTTAGAGGGCTATGAATTGATAAGAATTTATGACAGGAAGATAAAGATCTTTGGTTGTGTAGAGAAACTACGCATTGTTTTTAAAAGTAATTTGGATATTATTTATGTGATTGAGGGACTGCGCGTCCTCTTGTTGACAGAGGTGCTGGGACAGTTAGAAAAGTTCCATTCATTCGCTATAAGATAAAATGCACTTAAACCTCGACTTAGTCCCTGCCTTGGTAGCGGGTTTGCGTCGCCTCACAGCCCCGGTGGGGTTTCTCAGGGTTCTTAAGATCAAAGTTTGACCCCTGGGTACCACAACGGACGAGTACTGGTGACGGACTGTGAGTCTTGGCCGTGTTGCCACAGACACACTACACCTTCCAAAAAGAGGATTCTGTGGAACGTAAAGTTCGGTCTGGCCTGAGTCCCTTGCTTGGTTCTGTTTGATGTTGGGGGTTATATTCCAACATCATTGGGGGATATAGTCATATATTAAGGCCACATATTATGAGTGGGAGGGGCATATATATTACGGCCATAATCGTGGTTTACTGACCAACCCCCAAATTATATACTATAGTCCAGAGCATAAGTAATTGTCAGAAGCAGCCCCCAAAGCCGGCAAGAATATTTAGCATCGTCTGTGTCACATAATATTAAACAATTCAAAGATACTCAGGCTGCCAGTCCAAGAGTAATAGAACACAAGACGTGCCATGTCAAAGGTACCGGATTCCCTCAGGATTTTCTCGTGGACACACAGCTCCCAGGAAGAGTGGGAGAGCAATATTTTCCATCCTTACCGCGGACCCCACGAGTGTGAGGCCAAAGTTCTTCCTCTTAATCCTCTAAATCATAGTCGTGAACATAGTTCAAGCCTAAAGTCAACTCTCAGTGTACATATACAGAGAAGCTCATTACACTGCTCGGAGTAATCATGAGATCATTCGCGGCTGCAGTGACTTGCAACCCAGTTAATTTGAATATATATTTGGTAATTCTTCCTATAAGGAAGAATCTATATAAGAGGATGTCTCTCTATCCAGAGTTGGAGTCCAGATGCTTGGGGCTAGCCTCTCCCAAATTTGCAGGGGGAATGGACTGGAGTATGGGACGGACATAGGCTAGTCGGGTTAGGCCTAAGTTAAATACTTTAAGAAATGTTAGCATTTATAGACACCCCCTCAATGCAATTGTGATATTGTGTCACATGTGAAACATTGTTTCACATGTGACATCCAAACAGTTGTTTCACTGCTTCTTAATAATACATTTTCTATTAGAAGGGCAAGATGGGGGGATCAAGGGATGGGAATGAGGGGGTCAAAGTGGAGGTGAAGAATGGGGGAAAAAGGGGGGAAGTGTGGAAAGATGGAGGGGGGGGGGGGAAGAGTGAAAAGAGACCCGAGTGCAGCCGGGTGCCCCTCCAAGTATAACAAGAGGTGTTGACGACGATTTGTTTTAGTTTGTTGAAGAGAAGTTTCTTATACGTTGGAAGTTCTAATTACAAGCACGCTCACCTGCGTGCGTGTGTACACACACACACACACACACACACACACACACACACACACACACACACACACACACACACATCGATTTAGTGGTCTCCTTAGGACTGTAATGTATAAACTCAACCCTTAACAACCTTGAGGGCGTACAAACACTACCTCTTGTTAAACCATCAAATCAGGACGCAACTACACCTATTCCTTGGCTCACAATTCACTAGGGCATTGAGTCCAAAGTGATTGTCATAGGCCCATATATTTATTTTTATTAAAACCTAATAAGTCTTCTTGGTTACCATTGTTTCTCTTCACCACAAGCCTATCGCTGAGTGCCTGTCCTCACAAGTAGCCTATCGCGGCATTCCTGTCTGCACTACTTGTAGGAGAAAGTACTTGAAGCACCATAGAAAAAATCTAATTAACATTTTACAGAAACCGTGAAACTCACACTTAACCCACAGCAATTTTGACCCCATTTTTTTATAGAACTGCGTCAAAATTGAAGTGCTTTAGTAAAATTAAAAGGGGTGTTAATATCGACGCCTTGGCGATTAGTTAAGTGGGTCTACAGGGTTCGAACCTTTATGGTTAGGGGGAAAAAGTGCAGCAGCCACGGGAAGGTGATGGGTGTACCCCTAATGCGTTTATTACAGTTTTAATTAACGTCAGAACCATTTGTAAATTGCTCTCCAGTATCGAGTGGACAAGAGGGCTGGAGCCCAAGCTGGACTTCACCTCCTCCTCCATGACTACAACATCCTACTTGACCACAACATCCTCCATCACCACAACATTCTCCATCACCACAACATCCTCCATCACCACAACATCCTCCATCACCACAACATCCTCCATCACCACAACATCCTCCATCACCACAACATCCTCCATCACCACAACATCCTACTTGACCACAACATCCCCCATCACCACAACATCCCCCATCACCACAACAATCCTCCATCACCACACCATCCCCCATCACCACAACAATCCTCCATCACCACAACAATCCTCCATCACCACAGCATCCTCCATCACCACAACATCCTCCATCACCACAACATCCTCCATCACCACAACATCCTCCATCACCACAACATCCCCCATCACCACAACAATCCTCCATCACCACAACATCATCCATCACCACAACATCATCCATCACCACAACATCCTCCATCACAACATCCCCCATCACCACAACATCCTCCATCACCACAACATCCTCCATCACCACAACATCCTCCACGACCACAACATCCCCCATCACCACAACATCCTTCACAACCACAACATCCTCCATCACTAAACACTCAATACTTGGTTATAATCTTGTGACACAAACGTTCACCAAATCTGGTAATCACAGTTATGGGACAATATTAAAATTTGGGTTATTATTTACAAAAGTTGATTCTGTTATTTAGCTTCTATAGCTATAGCTTTGAGGATAACGAATAATAGAATCTTGCCGCGGAATTGATGATTGGTCTCACGTACGTGCTTGTATAATGTTGAATTTTATTGTGCAAATTTGACAGACAGGAGACATTTCTGAATCCAGAGAACATATTCGGAACACATAGACACGATAAAACACCTAAATTATTGGGACCGTCGCAAAGTTTTCAAAATGTGCTCTCTAGCAAGGAGACGAGAGAAGTATCAAACAATATATACATGGAAAATTTTGGAAACCCAGATCCCAAATTTGCACAGTAGCATAACAACATACTGGAGGGAAAGACATGGAAGGAACTGCAGAATAGAACCATTGAGGAGTAGAGGTGCCATAGGTACAGAGTTCAATATATAGTATTCAATATAGTATTCAGTATTCTATAGTATTTAGTATTATAGTATATAGTATTTAGTATACAGTAGTTTTAGTATTTAGTAGTTTTAGTATTTAGTATATATTAGTTTTAGTATTTAGTATATAGTAGTTTTAGTATTTAGTAGTTTTAGTATTTAGTATATAGTAGTTTTAGTATTTAGTATATAGTAGTTTTAGTATTTAGTATATAGTAGTTTTAGTATTTAGTAGTTTTAGTATTTAGTATACAGTAGTTTTAGTATTTAGTAGTTTTAGTATTTAGTATATAGTAGTTTTAGTATTTAGTATATAGTAGTTTTAGTATTTAGTATATAGTATTTAGTATTTAGTATATAGTATTTAGTATTCAATGTATATATTCAATATGTACATATATATATATATATATATATATATATATATATATATATATATATATATATATATATTATTCAGCTGTTCCACACTCTTCCAGGGAAATGTTTACATAGGTGTGGCTTATATCACGTGAGGTTAGAACAAAAGTTAACCCCCCGGTTCACTGGCTCATAATGCTTCCATTGTCTTCTGTGTTGTGTTAAATGATTGGCAGAAGCGGACCAAGAGTTCAGATATATTAGGCTAGGGCATAACCTTTGGCCTTCCCCCTCTGAGTCTACTACAGCAGCTGTGGCTCGATATATCGACAAAACTGCAACAAGTTCAGTGTATAAAAAAACTTTTGTTTGGGCAATTAGCGAACAAAGGTAACCGTTGTGGAACGCACACTAACAAGTGCGCGTGCGCATCGCTCTCCTCATTTTCCTGACCTGTATCAGCTGATGGTGATGTTTAATGGATGACTTCATTAATTTAGTGTCGTCTTGATAATTTTATGTGGACGTTTACGTATAATAATAGAGCCAAATGAACGACTGCGCTTCATGTAAATTCTATATACATTACCAAATACTTATTAAGCTAAATATATTGTGATTTGCAGAAAGCGATGAGTGAAGGTAGCCTAATATAGACAGGCCTCGTACCATCCATTATAATTTTTCTCGGTGTATTACGAGGTTGAAACGAGGTTACGTTTA